AAAGTTCTTCCTGGAACTAATAGTTTAGAACTGAATCATTGCATGCCGAACAAAAAATGTTACTATATGCCACTGAATCCTAATTCTGTGGCTATTCACTTCTCTCTGTTTTCTAATAATATGGATAATAAACTTATGTGGCTTTAAAAGAGTACTAGGAGATACTGATGGAAAATCACTGTATGTATGCAAATTTATTCTTACATATCTATATTTTAATGTTTCCATTATTTATATTCATAGTGTAGAAAAACAAAACCTGAACAACATAATATTTGCTCTTTTTAAGCTTTGAAAAAAAATCTTTATTTTCTGATGTCCCCACTCATACATGCTGAACCCTTTAACTAAATTTGGTCCTTTTTCCAATTCCCATATTTCAATAATGTGCTTAATTATCATGGAACTGGACAGCCCCGCTGCCCCCAACCTTGCTTTCTAGTGGTCGATTTCTCCCCCTCACACCCATCCTCTCAGCTCGCCCCGCCCCGCTCCCCTCCCGGCAGCCACGCTGAGGCTTGGTATTTTTTCCCATGGCCCAGTACCGGGCCGTGGCCCATAGTTTGGGAAACGCTGGTCTAGACATAGCCTTTGTTACCTCCCTCATCCAGTAAGGGCCTGACACCATCCCTGTTCACCCTCTCATTGCTAACATGCCTGTAGAAATCTTTCTTGTTTCCCTTCACATCCCTCGCCAGCTGCAATTCCAGTTGTGCTTGGCCTTCCTGATTACAGCCCTGCATGTTCGAGCAATATATTTCTACTGCTCCCTAATCATCTGTCTAATTTCCATGATGACGTCTGTGAAAAAAGTGTAATTCTTGCCATTTCTCTGACTTCATTTCAATGGAAATGTCATGAGATACAGTAATTAGGAGTAAAGTTGAAAATAGCAACAGCCCTTAATTAAAAACACCTTCAGTAGCTCATTGAGAATTCTGTATTGTTCTATATCCTTCATCTTAAACATCTGTGAAAAGCACACTGTTTACTGATAGCTGGTCTCATAAGTCATTTTGGTTTTTCCTCTGGATGGCTTTTTATTAATAGCACTGATCTGTATTTGCTACTTAAACCAAAGTGGAAATCTTCCTCTGTTTGTGAGGCTTCAGCTGGTTGCTATGGAGATGGTTGGTATCACAAACAAATTTTTCCATGAGACATTCATGGCTATTTAATGGATGCACTTTTTTTTTCCATTATGCGTTAATTATGCCATATGCTCAAGGAACAGGCAAAATGATTAATTATTAAGTTTTCTGGTTCCTTGCCCCCCACCCACCCAAAAAGCAATAGATATGCAGAAATATATTATTTTATTGAATCACCTGGTTTGCATACTGAAGGCAGAAATGCACTTAATATACTGCACAAAAGTATAGACAACAATTAAATTTTTTCCAGACAATATTCCCCTTCTTTCCTCCATTATCATTTCAATTTAAATAAAAATAACTTTGTAGAGGCTGAAAGCTTTTAAAAATATTGTCATGCCAAAGAATCATATTGTGACAATCAGATTGTAACATTTTCTAACCATAATAGTGTGGTTTGTAAATGCATGTAAATAATGTCCTTTCTGAAACTTTTTGATCAAGAATAAAGTGTTTGAATGATTTATTGATACAAAACCTCTTTTCAATAAAATGTTAGTTTTAATGCAAAAAATGGCCTGCATATTTCATGCTGTATATAATCAAGTAAACACAAAACATGTTAAGAAAGTATCCCACTTATCCCACTACAGCACATAACATCAAATGCACACACTTATGCCAATAACACACAGATCATGAGTCTATTCAAACTGCCATCTACATTAACTGGTGGCTTTGTCATGTATTCCTTGAACATGGTAGATCAGGAGTGAGCAACAGGTGGCTAACAGGCCAGATCCAGACCACGGCAACCTCACTGGGACCCTTAAGCACAGTGCAGCTGCAGCCACTTCAAATGTGGCTGCCATATGGTCTGGATGCTGGAGAGTGAGGAGGGAGGTTTTGTGCTATGTCCCACCCCCCAGCAAAATCTCTCAGCTCCCATGATCCACTTTCCGGCCAATAGGAGCTGAGAAATTTTGCTGGAGGCAGGGGCAGCCAATGAAGTCTCCATCCTCCCTCCTGCCCTGTCACTGCAGCTCAGTTTCTGCAGAGCTGCTGGCAGGGAGCCGCCTAGGTAAGCACCTCCCAGCCAGAGACTGCCTCTGGCAACCACCCCCTCTTACATCCCTCAACTACCTGCCCCAAACGATCATCCAGTTTAAAGTTAGTCTTTAAAGTGCTGCATAGTCCTGTCTTTTGTTTCAGCTAGCCCAGACTAACACGGCTGCATCTCTATCCCAAATCTTCTGTACCCCTTTCCCCCTTTCTCCCAGGTCACAACTCCCTCCCAGACCCTGCACCCCCTCCTACACCCTTTCCCCAGGCCAGAATCCTCTCCTCCACCCATACCCCTTTCTGTACTCTGCACCCCAAGTCTCTGTCCCAGATTACAACCCCCTCCTTCACTGAAACTCCCTCTCAGACTCCACCCTCTTCCTGCACCGTCTCCTGGCCCAAGCTCCCTTCTGCACCCAATCTCTGTCCCAGACCCCGCACTCCCTCGGTTGAAATGCGGTCCTTGACCACTTGCCAAAACCTTGGAGTGGCCCCACCGTTAAAATTATTGCCCACCCCTGTGGTAGATTGTCAAGCAGCTAAATAGGTCAGGCTCCTGTATCAATAGAGATTGGCTACACTTTCTCCTTGACAGAGAGGTACACAAAAGATATACCTTCCATAAGAATCTTTAATGTGCTGTCCCATGTAGCTGTCCAGTGTAGCAAAATAACAACAGTAGAACCTCAGCATTAGAAACAGGTTGCTTGCAACTCTGAACACAGCATTGTTCTTTCAAACATTTACAATTGAACATTAACTTAATACAGCTTTGAAACTTTACTATGCAGAGGAAAAATGCTGGTTTCAACCATCTTAATGTACATGAAATAAGCACAGGAATGGTTTCCTTACCTCGTAAAATTGTGTTTTTAAACTTTTCTTTTAGTTAGTAGTTTACCGTTAGGTCAGTAATGTACTGCATTTGCTTTATTTTTGTCTATGCTGCCTGCATACTTCTGGTTTCAAATGAGGTGTACAGGTTACCAGTCAGTTGGTAATTCCTGATAGAAATGTAGCAGTCTTAGTCTGGGGTAGCTGAAGCAAAATGCAGGACAATGTAGCACTTGAAAGACTAACAAGATGGTTTATTAGATGATGAGCTTTCTTGGGCCAGACCCACTTCCTCAGATCAAAAATCTGATCTGATCTGATCTGAGGAAGTGGGTCTGGCCCACGAAAGCTCATCATCTAATAAACCATCTTGTTAGTCTTTCAAGTGCTACATTGTCCTGCATTTTGCTTTGGTAATTCCTGTGTTCCTAGCTCTGAAGTTCTGCTGTTTGCTATACACAGTGCCACCCAGTGGCTGTAGAATATAATAGAGTTTAGCGTTCCAGTACAACCCTTTGTCTTTTTTCCTCGTTATTGTGCTTGTTCATTTTGCCTTACTGACCTTGTTGCAGTACTAGCTTGTTGAAATATTGTCCATGTGCACTAGACCAGGGTCTTCTAATTCTTCTTCATCGACTTCTCTATCAAGATAGTTGCAAGTTGTTTCCTTTGTCTCTGAGAATGAAGTGTAGTAATTTCTCTAAGACCATGTATCTTTAAGAAAGCAAGGTTCATTACAAAGGAGACATGAGAGAAAATTCTGTAAAAACAAAAATAATTTTAGATCCCAGCCTGTCCATCAGGTAATTTGATATGGTATAATTTGAAGCTAAAATTGAGCCAGGTAAAAAAGAGCTGCCTTCTGTCTGTCCTGTTCTTGTTTTAGCCTTTCAGCTTCTGAGATCCAAGCCCATTAATGCCTCTGAGACATGGCTGCCTTTCATCTCAGGATCTCCTTTGTTCTGAAGCCTATTCATTTAAAAATTGCATAAGTTTGTGTGCCACCTTGCTCATTAACATAGGAGCTAGGTAGATATCCTTGGTAAAAGTTCAAAGGTACATAATTAAAGTCTATGTAAAAGGTCACATATAAGGAAGGGAATTTGTAAATCTTCTTTGCAGGAAAAATGACAATAGCTGCAATAGAAAGGTGATCGACTGACGCACACAGTCACTGAAACCCAGGTCAGAAATGCAGTGGGCCATTAGACTTCCTGGGCCATTGGGCAAGGCAAGAAGGGGCCTCAGGAGGAGGGGGGCTGAGGTTAGCCTTCCCTAGGCAGACCTCAATGCTGCATGGGGCTCTGGCAGAGATGTAAAGCTCCTGGGACTCCAGCCACTACCACAGTAGCAGCAGTAGTGGCCAAGAACCTCGGACCGTTTTGAATAACTGGGCCCCAAAGCAATTGCCCCCTTTGCCCTCGACTGTCAGCACTCCTGTGGAAACGAATCAGCACAAACACACCTGAAAAAGCATTGGGCCTCACTCACATGCTCCTGAGTGTTCTCCACTTTTCCATCTGCGTGACTCTCCTCTCAGTCAATAAAGGCGGGGTGCAGCTCACCCCAATGCTCAGTGCCTGGCCAGAGCTGTTCAAGATGTTTCCTCCAACAGTTTAGCAGACTGTTTCTCTTCGATCGTGGGCAGAGGGGGGAAAGCTCTTGAGTGCTGCTAGACCAAAGATGTCCCAGTTTTGCCCAAAATATATTGATGGTGCTCACTACTGAGATTTACTTTTTCAAGAACTGTAGTGGAATTTCATTAAAATACTTTGGCCTTAAAAATTTCTATCAACATCTTTTAAGCCTCCGCTCAGAACACAGGGGCAAAAGAATTATCTCGCTAAACAAAAAATTTAAAAGTGGCAAATCTGCCATCTTGTCTAATATGCCATCGGTAACAAAGCTTGCAAAGTCCACTTTAAAAATGCAATTTATTAGAATACTAATGTGTTTGAGTATTTTTTGTTTCCATGGCACTTCAATCGTTTATTTTTAATTTGTTTGCAGGATTACCTGGCACTGCTGCAGACCTAGAAAAAAGAAAGCTTATTTTTGGGAAAAACTTTATACCTCCAAAGAAGCCAAAAACTTTCTTACAGCTAGTTTGGGAAGCTCTACAGGATGTGACTCTTATAATTTTGGAAATTGCAGCCATCATATCTCTGGGGCTCTCATTTTATCAGCCACCTGGAGGAGGGAATGAAGGTAAAAACTCTTTTAATAGTTGTCTAGGTAAATGTCAGTTACTGGTGATGAGTTAAATATTGGTGTATTTTTCTGTGGCACTAACATGAGGTTTTCTAGGTCAGTATTTTAGTTTTCTTCTAACTTCTAGAACTGTTACTTAATATCATTATCCTAAAGATACATAAACTAGCATTTTTCTTGAGGAGCTGTAGGAGATTGCGGAATCCTAAGGCATATTAAAATGTTAAAAGAAAAATCATAGCTTTCTTATAAAACTCCTTTAAAAATTAATTTTAAAATCACTGTCATGTCTATTTAAGCTCACCTGTAGTATATACATTTACTCATCTTGGAAGAGTGTTTACTCAGTGACACAGAAAGAGTGGGAAAGCAGTTTACATGCCAAAAATGGCTTATAATCCAGGCGTAGATCTATAGAGGCAAATAAAACAGTTATGACAGTTTACTGTAGCTAAAGATCTGACCCATATAATCAGTCACACATTGACCCTCTATAATTCTAGTATGTTTTAGTCTTCTGGCTATAAAGCTCCCAATAAGCCTATTTCCTGTACTTCAGTATCCTTTTGTGGTTTTTGTAGAAAGTTGTACGTTGTTTTGTCTGAAGAGTTCTTTCAGATTCACATACATAAAAATGTGGTTCCATCCACATTTGCAAAACTGCCATCTCAGGTAACTGATCAAGAGTTCATTTCAGTTTTCTCATAGGCCAATGGAGCTGCATGAGACATGGTATGCAAAATTGCACGAAAAACTTGGCAAATGAAGAATGTCTTCGCCTAAATATACTTTAGAAATGTTGTTTTCATTCCATGTTTTTATCGAATATTCATATATTTTAGAAATGTGCATCTGTCTGTCTGTCTGTCTGTGAGTCCATTTGTTCAAGAACTCCTCCTACATGGTAAGAACTAGGATCACTCAGTGGTATGCAGCTTCCCTTTCTCCTAACTTAAAGCAAGGTCAGGATTTGGCTGTGCAGGAAAATGGGATCTGCCTAGAATGGGATTGTATTCCATGGAATGGAAAGGGAGGGGGATGTAAGGAGGGACAGTTATACTGCAGAGTAACCACAGGTGGGTGGCCATTCCATTATCCCCCATCTCCTCCCCACCTCACTACAAGGGGAGCTCAAGTCACACCCTCCTTCATCCTCAGCACTGGACTAGGGGGCAGGCAGCACACCCAGCACAGCCCCAGGAGCCTCAGGCAGCCACCATCACTGGACTAGTGCAACCCTGGATGCGGGCAGCGGGGCCCCGGGAGCTGCTTCTGCCACAGCAGCACAAAACCAGGTGCCCCAGTAGCTGCTGCCAGACCGAGATGCCCTTGCCACCAAGGCAATCCCAGTGAACCTGCACAGACTTCCCAGCCCCCTACCCTGAGTCCTCCACACCCTACCCTGATTTTGCACCCCTACCTTCTGCTCTGCGCCCTACTTACACACAATGCCCTGCCATGAGCCCTTCACCCCTTCCCTAAATCCTGCACCCCCTACCTGTCCTGAGCCCCTGATTCACCCAACCTCCTCTTCTGAGCCTCCCACATCCTGCCGTCAGTCCCCCCACACCTCCCAGCCCTGGCTCCTGCATCCCTACTCCCTGCTCTGAGCCGTCAAGCCCTAAGCTGACTCCTGCACCATGCACCTGCCCTGAGCCCCTAACTTTCCAGCCCCTGCCCTGACTCTTACATCTGCAATCCCTACCCTGAACCCCCTCCCCTAACTCCTGCACCCTCCACACTGTGCCCTGATTTCTGCACCCACCCACCCCCAAAAAACAGGTAAGGACCCAAGTAAGACTGGGTACAATGGCTAGTTCCTTTATGTATAGTTAGACAGCCTTGTTACATGCTAATCACCTGCTTTTTCTGGGATGTTGGGCAGTTCTACTTACACAGACTTTACTTGCATGAGTAAGGTTTTGCAGACAAGGCTACCATTTTTATTCATGACCTATGAAGAAAAAAATCTTTGAAATATACTTATATAACTGATTTTTTTGGTTGTGTGCCAGCAAGTGCTGCATTTTGTTTTGATAATGTATTAAAAAAGTTCCCTTTCCCATGGGAATCATTCACTCATCTGAGATACAGAGGACATGCTGGAAAACTCAGCAGAACAGCATGGGAAAATGGGTTAATGTTTTATCATAACATTTCATTTAAATATTTTAACATGTTTGCCTTCCCTACATTTTAGTACCATTTTGATAGAATGATCTTGCAATTTTTGTGTGGAGAAAATGTATCCTGTTAGTGTATTAAAAGTACATTGTCAGGGTTGCCTTTTTTCTTCAGACATTTAAAAATGAGGGAAATTTTTGGTGGTTTGGTGGGAGATAGCTCAAATTACTGGACCTCTCTAAAATCATATAAGTAAACAAGTTCATGTTAGATGTGATTTTGTTCTTAGTATGGATACGGGCAGGGATATCTTAAAACATGTTAGCTGGAGCTTTAAAGCATAACTTGTCTCTATCTATATTAAGTGTAGGTAAAAAGAACCCACGAGGGTTTTTAAATAATATATTTTAGATAAGACCTTTCATCTCCAGTTTTTATTTTTATTTTTCCCAAGGATTTTATCAGTGTTTGTTTCAAAAACTGAAGAATGGAAGAAAGTAAGTGCAAAATAAATCTTCACAGTTTCTGAAGGAATGTCAGGATTCTTACTGCGGGGTGGGGGGGAGAAGGAGGACAAAAGAAAAGCAATCAGTAGAGAAAAGAAAAAATTCATTATTTCTCATTTCCATTACAAAAATTTTAAAAAAGGTTTTGTTAAAACAGTTAAATTCAGAAATGCAGTCAGCTAAAACTTTTGCTTTGGGATCCATTTAACATGAAACGAAGGCTTCAACCACATCTCAGACACTAGGGAGCATAGGCAAGGGATAATACTTTAACCCAACTCCCAGCCACAAATCATGACTCCTGTCTCAGAGGTGGGGAGCCAGGAAAGAGCAGATCCCAGTCACTGACCTGCAGGCAGTAGGGGGATCAACCTACCCTCTGCTCAGCAACTCAGCTCCGCTACCCAGTGCCGCTGGCGGATTGGAGAGACTGTTCTCGGCCCAAGCATAGGAAGGCCAACTGATTAGCAGGTGAGGCAGATGGAGCTCAGTGCCCTGGAGCTTTTCTTCAGGCTGTGCCACATTCCCAGACTCAGCTCTTCACAAGAGGGGCTGGAAGGAGTGTCTGGCATTTACTGAGAGGAGGTTCCCAGCACTCACAGAGAAAGGGGGGTCCCTGGATCCAATTACTCATGGGGGATAGGGAGGAGAGAGTGGGGGTCTCTGACATAAATGGATAAAAACGGAGTGGCATGAACTGACTGGGGTGGGGGGAATGGGTCCTGCTTCCTGCAGCCCAACACAGTAGCAGTTGGCAGTCTTGGCAGGCTCCCTGCTGATCTCGTTCCCCCACTGTGTGGCAAGCACTAACATGCAAGTCTCCTCTGTGCAAGCCCACTAAGAAGGCGGATGGGGAAGATGGGGAGGGAATACTGAGAGTGGGGAGCTGTATCGGAGAAGGTACAAAATCTAGGTAGAAACGGGAGGAAAATGGTATTTTCAAAACCTAGGCATTTTTAGGAAGGCTTTTAGTAAAAGCCAAAAATAAAGAGCCATAAGAACATTACATCATTCTCTTGACAAATTAATGAGACTGTTTCTTGGACAGAATTTTGGGTCAGATCACAAAAGGTCATGCCAAACTACAGCATCAGATGAGTAATTTTGCAAACTGGTGGTTCCTTCTGCACTAGTTACATGTGAAGATTGATTTCTTGCCTCACTTTTCTATGGTACTTGTAAATTACATTTAGTTTGCCTACGGTAGGGGTGGTCAATAATTTTTGATAAGGGGCCACTCCAAGATTTTGGCAAGTGGTCAAGGGCTGCACTTTTCTATGGCGGGGACGTGGGGTTTGGGATGAGGGATAGGTGTGGAAGGGAGCTTGGAGTGAGGGGTCTGAGTAGGAATTTGGGGTATGAGAGGGAGTTTGGGTAAAGGAGGGGGCTGTGACCTGGGGCAGGGAACTGGGGTGCAAGGTCTGGGAGAAGGTATGGGTACAGGAAAGGATACTGGCCTATGGTGTAGGAGGGAGTGCAGGGTCTGGGAGGGAGTTGTGACCTGGGGAAGAGGGTGTGCAGTGGGTTTGGGTGGTCACCTGGAGCAGGGGATTGAGGTTGAGGAGGGGGATCAGGGCTAGGGAGGGCTATGGATGCAGGAGAGATTCTGGCCTGTAGGGGTTTAGGAGGTGGTCTAGGACCTGGGAGGGAGTTGTGACCTGGGGCAGGGAGTCAAGGTGCGGGAGGGGGTGGAGTGCCAGGTGCCAGCTCTGGGCAGGAGGTGCTCTAGGCCAGTAGACTAGTGGGACCCTCAGGCGGACTCATTTCTTGCTGTAACCCAAGCCCAGTACCAGCTAATGGGAGATGAGAGATTGTGCTGTGGAAACACCTGGAAGATAATAAGGTGATAGGTAACAGCCAGCATGCATTTGTAAAGAACAAATCGTGTCAAACCAATCTGATAGCTTTCTTTGAGAGGATAATGAGTCTCGTGGATAAGGGATAAGTGGTGGACATAGTACAGTAAAACTCCAGTTGTCTGGCATCCAGTGGTCCTGCACTCCTGCTAGTCTGGCACCACCTGGAACCCGAAAGTGCTCCAGGCAGCCGGACAGTTGGAGCTGCTCTGCCCCGGGCTTCCCCAAGTCAGCCGCTAGTCAATTTCAGCAGCGGCTGACTCGGGGATGCCTGGCCCCCCAGCCTTGGCTCCCCATCCCCCCCACCCCACTTCAGACCCCTCATATCCCCCCTGTTTTGATAGTCCGGCATACCTGATAATCCGGCACCCCCTGGGTCCTAAAGGTGCCGGATTATCGGAAGTTTACTGTATACCTATTCTTTAGTAAGGCATTTGATACGGTCTCGCGTGACCTTCTTATCAATAAACAAGGCAAATACAACTTAGATGGGGCTACTATAAGGTGGGAG